TCCGGGCCAGATGGTGTCCGGCCCTCGGCCCGCGCTGCCCGGAGCCCCGCTCTCCGCTCGCGTTTTCCGGCGGTCCCGGCTGCCTGGTCGGGCTGGCGGCGCCTCCCAGGTCGCAGCTTAGAGGGAGTGGGGGCAGCCCCGGCAGCCGGAGGCGGAGCGGGGCCTCTCTTGTTGGAGACCCTCGCACAAGGCGCATCAAGTGGGCAAGCCCCCCTCCCCCGCCGCCTGCTGGAACAAGTAGCTTTTATTTACCCTTGCGGTTCTCAAGTGGGTCCCACTTTTAGCCACCGAGTGCTGAAAAATCTAGTGGGAAAGGGACCGGGCACAGCGTCAGAAAGGGAAATTGGTTTCTATTTTCAGCTCTACTGTTAGAAGCCCTGGTAAGTTTCTTAAACTAAGTGCCTCGGTTTACCCAGCTATGACAAGACCAGCATTTTCCTACTGTCCTGAGACGGCAGAGAAACGTCTGTGAAACCACAGGGTTCATTTAAGGGTCACTGTTGCTGATCTGTAATTTCTTAGTTGTACACGTTTGAGTGTTGATGTAATAATGCACATTTTTATATGAAGTTTACCTTAAAGAGTGTTCTTTTACAATATTCAAATTAATCCAGATTCCAGTTTGGCGACAAGATGGAAGAGCTTGTGTGGATGTTAGGAATTGTGTGAAGTAGGAAAGAAGCTGTCATTTTAGTAAAATTTGCATGCAGTCATAAATGGAGTAGAGAAAAATGAACTTTGAATTGTGATGTTTTTAAGTGAGATACTGCTGTGTGTTTAGGTTGGAAGTAACTTTGTCGTTGTGTAGCCAATTAAGATAATACATTATTACCTTTTAAGAGTGCTATATATAAGGTAGATAATTTATAGCCCTTGATTATTTTTTCCTTAAAGTGTATGGATGAAACTAAATTAGAAAAGTATATTCCCGGCATGTTAGAAAATTTTAAGAATGGCTCAAAGAACCATGGATTTTAGTTTACTTGCTACTCTCTTTTGTGTCAGCTGATGATCCAGAGAATAATATTTTGAGTATGCTTATCTTTTTCCCACCACTGCAATTCCTTTTATCACATTACCTCTCTCTGGAGTTGGAGTACTGACTGTATGATCTCGCATAAGTTTTACCTGTCTAGGCTGGATGCCTTGGACCCAGTTGCTCAGTCATTGTTATTTACATTATGAGATTTTCATTTCTCTTCCTTTCATTCTAGGCCTTCTTTCCCCTGTGAAGTAGGAAAGAGGCTGTCATTTTAGTAAAATCTGTATGCAGTCATAAATGAGGTTGAGAAAAATGAACTTTGGATTGTGATGTTTTTAAGTGAGATACTGATGTGCGTATAGGAAAGAAGGTGGAAAGAACAGTAGGTCTTTGTTACTAAAGCTGTTTACTTGGAGGTGACCAGGAGTGGCAGTGGTCAAGGGGCAGAAACTCTGCAGACTCCAGAAAAGCTGGGTCTTTGCTGAGGTCTTCTGAATAGATGCTGGAGTACAGTTGTAAGAATTTGACCTATCTTTCCCTTCATTTTCTGAAATCTCTATTGGACAGATTTCTTTGATTTACCATAAGAAATCTTGGGAGCAGGGAGCTGTCAGAAGTGCTAGATAGATTAAGAGCATTCCCTATGCAGGAGTGGGGAGAAGACAGTAGTGACTGGAGAGGTGGAAGACCCTTCCTGTAACCAGATAACTAGCAGGTAGTAAAGGCTCCCTACTTTTCCAAGTGTGAAATGGCAGTGGGCTGGGCTGCAAAAAAGGAAGTGGCACAGCTTCTAGACAAATTTTGGGATATACCTGAGGTTTGAGGGGCCCTTCTCCCTCTTTCCCTTTGAGAGTGTCTCTGGCTCCTCAGGGGCAAGTGCAGCTGTCCCACAGTTTTCAGATTGTTCACTCACCTCCCTTTGTGCTCTAAAGGAGACCCAGCATTCAGGTACTTCTCTCAGCGCTGGTCTTACATGTACTAGAGGAAACTGGGCAGTTTAATTTGTAAGGAGCCCTTCAGACCTCATGTCTGAACTTTGGCCTATCTTTTCCTTAATTTTCCTACCCTTTCTTCCAAATTAATATTCTATAGCCTACAGAGAAAGATTCATTTAGGCTTCAATATCTCTTGGAAGGTTAAAAAGTAGGAGACTCAGTTTGGCCGAGAAGAGTAAACTGAATAGTCTACACAGAGATACAGAAGACTGTAGTTTTTCTGTTGAGGGAGATAATGAATTAATTGTCTGGGTGAGCATTGTGGGTACTTGGACAAAGGAGGGCGGGTACGGGGGTGGAGTTGTGCTGGACAGCTTGTGCCCTTGTCGTTGATAGAGGATGACACCACCAAGCTAGTAGATCACCTTGTGCTTTCGCTCCTTCCATGTGCCTGTAAGAGGAAGAAGATAGCAGCATGGAGGTGGAGTTGCCATCTGTTCTTGAGGATGGGAAACAGACTCTAATTGAACACTAGGGATGAACTGTATTCACCTGGCTTTGGATGTATCACACAAGAGTATACATGGCATCAGGAAAGTGAGACTAATTTTGTAAGAAAACATAAGGTCTTTCAAGAGTGACTTGGGTGATACTTTTTCCTTGATGAGGATGAAAGGTCATCCTCCTTTGAGACTTGTTATGCCTGGTGATATAGTTAGATGTGCTGCAAGCAGATCCCAGACCCAAGGAGGCAGAATCAGGCAGGCGTAGCAAAAGGCGTTTCTTTGCACAGAGAATTGGTCTGTTCAAGGAGAAGGTGATTCTGTGAACATATGAGAAGGAGCTTGTGAATCAGTGTAAAAGGCCAATGTTTTTGAAAATAGCTGATGAAGAAGACAGCTGGAAGTCTATTCAGAGCTTGAACCAGCATGAAGGAAAGGAGTCCTGGAGAGTGGGACCAATATCATGGGGAGAGTTTGAGTGGTTGGCCAGAGGCTTGTCTAAAGCCGTGTTTCAGAAATGTTTTTGAACTACAACAGAACAAAATGCATTTTTACATTGAGACTTAGGACATAAGTATATGTGTATGAGAGAAAACTTTCCATTTCATTTCTGTTTCTATTCTGTGTTCTTAGAAACTAATAGCCTGTTAATTGATCACAGCCCACTACTTGGAAACCATTTGTCAAGTGAGCAGAAAAGTAGGTTGCAGTGGAGCAGGTGGAGTAAGGAGTTGGAGGTGCTGGGGGGGGTGCATAAAATTGATTAAGCGCTATCTGAACCTTTGTAGGTGGAGACAGAAGGGAGTATGGGAACTCATCTGGCATCTCAAGGGTTCAGGACTTACATCAGTGAACGTGAACGGATGGGGCAGACGCAGAAAAGGGGACTTCTTCCCCTGTTCACTTCAAAACGATTTGAAGAGAAGAGAAAGTGTAGAAGGACTGACGTTGGATTTGAAAGCAGCTTTCTTTTGAGCAGTAGATTTTTCTCTGTAGGTTAAATGAGAAGACAAATGGATCCAGAACAAATTGGCTGCTGGATTTAGATCATGTCCACTTTCATGGGCTAGATAGGGAGCAAAAGGGCATAGAGAAGAGTGGATGAGTGGGATTCACACTTTCCCTTCCATTTTTGAGAAGTTTGGGCAGAAGAAGTGAATGGAATGTGTTGTTTTGAAATCCCATTTGCTGATCAAACTTGTTTGGAAGTTGGCTGCTGACTTCACAGAGAATTTGAAAAGTATTTTCATTGCACTTTATAAAAGGGTTAGACTATCAGGATATCCTTAGGGTTTATTTCAAGATCTGTGATCAACTCCAGTCATCATTTATAGTCTTTGGGATGGCCACAAAACTTCTTGGAAAAATAGGTGAGGCAACCAGCAACTGTTAGCTAATTCCAGTATTTGACCTGGAATTAAGGGCAGAGTCTATCTGCATGCTTTTTGTTTTCCTTTTCATAACTATTAACACCAGACTCCAACATCTAACACTCCCACCAGCAAGTAAAACTAAACCTGGATAAAAAGCACACAGGTATCAGAGTACAGCCCAGTCTGTTGCCTAGTTACTGCTTGCTTTTATCTTTGACATTCCGACCTAGTTGGATCCTGTCTTTACTCATCCCTGCCTTGTCTGATTTTCTTGACTTAGTTGATATGTTTTGTGTTTGACTACACTCTTCCTCAGCTTTCTGGTTTCTGGAAAATCTAATGCCTTTCAACTCTTGCTTGTTTTTTTTCTGTGGCCCCCAATCTGACCTGTGGTGTCCATCTGACTACTACTGTGGAGCCGAATTCCGGATCCTGGCTTGTGCCATGTTATTGTCCATTGTATCCTATCATGGCAAACCCTGGAAACAACTGCATATTGATGAGTTTATACATTGGTTTTAATTTAACTTTGAATTTTGGGGATATTGAGAAGCTATCTTGGGCAAGTTAATTTTAATTAATTTTCTTCAAATAGTTTTTAAAAAGCTTTTAAAAAGTAAAACTTCAGCCTATTGAATATATATTTTGTGGAAGGGGAGGAAGAAGAAATTTTCTTTTTTTCTCTTTTTAATTTTTAATTTTAAAGATGCGGGGTGCAATTCGGGGTTAGGTATGCAAATGTTCATTATGCAGTACCCTTGTTGATGAAGTATGCCCCCCCACGCAGTTTTCCACTACTGCCAACCCCCCCCCCCCGGAAGTTTCCATGACTGCCAATCCCTTTCTTATAGTATTATGATAATTGTTCAAGGCCCACTATGAGTGAGAACATGTGGTACTCAGTTCTTTGTTTCTGTGATAGATCACTCAGTATTACAGACTCTAAGTCCACCCAAATTGCTGTGAAGTTCATAATTTTATCCTTTATGGCTATGTAATATTCCATTGT